GCAGGACTGCACTGGAGTAACTTTAGCAATAAGCACATGATGGGAGTTTTGTGCCTTTTCTCCACGGGCATCACTGTACTGAAAAAAGATCAACTCACATGAAGCTTTTTCGTGTTCTCTAAGGATCTTTCAACAAAATCTCAAGGTTATAAAAAAGATTCCCTAGGATCTGTTAGATTTTTATTTTTTTTTTCAGGAAATAGCTCGAGAGTTGAGGAAAGATAGGGTTAGTGGGAATTTGTGAGGTAACATTTCAAAATGAACACATGAAGGCATCAAATACCCTTGAAAAGTTTCACGTGGTTACTCTATTGGTTTGCACTTCCATGTAATTTGCTTTGAAGTTCTCAGGCTCCAGCAGCTCTTTGTGCAGCTTTTTCTTCCCAGAGCAAAGTTTACCAGAGTATGAGTAAAGCTCTGGCAATCAACAGCTACTTGTACTGTCAAAGTTCTAAGTTTGCCCTCCTGTGTCATGTCACAAAGGTTTTTCCATTGTTATAATTCACACTTTAAATTCTCTATGCCCATAGTAAATGAAATAGTGTAAGAGCCTGAGTTCTTGAATGAGTGGAAATGCTACTGTTGTCCTTAAGGGAAATCAGATGAAAACTTCATCAAAATACAATATGCTAAACCAAACACAAGTGGAACTGGTCTGATTTGGAGATGACAATTAAGATATGCTACTTTGCATGCCTGTAACACCTGTACTCATAAAACACAAAGATGGGAAAGGCTAGAAGCTCTTCTGGCTCATCTCTTTAATTGAAACAGAGTGCTGTATCACAGATCCCTACCTCTCTGTCCACTTGCAGCATAACCTTCCCAGGCAGCTGAATTTCTCTGCTTTTCCTGTGAGACTGCTTTCTATTTGCTGCCAGGACATTTCTCCAAAAAAATTCCATTAGTAGTTTTACCTCATTACTGTAGAAATGCCCTTCTGTACCTGCACAAGCTATTTATAATGTAAATTAAATTCTGTTCTGAGCTGTTGGTGGATGACTCCTGCAACTTTGTCAAAACATGAGGGAAAAGCTCCCTCCGTGGTGAATATATCCATAGAATCTCTTTAACTGTTGCTACATTTCTTATAAGACATCTTTAATCCTATCTCCAAATAATCCAGTTTTTAAATCTTTCTTCAGAAAACATGCTCCCCACACTCTGAATATTTTCATTGCTCTTTTCTGAAATAAATTTTTTACTTTTAAGTTTTGATGCCAGTGCTAAATGCAATTATTTTAAGTGCAAACTTAAGCAATCAGAAGGCCAGCCTCTCAGCATGAAAGCAGCCTATATACAATATGATTCCTAGGGGTTTTTTTAACTTTTCACCAATGAGTTGCTTAAAATCAGTAGATCTGGGGAAAGCACCTTTGCCCATGGATTACTCTAAATGCTCTAAATACATATTCTTTTGGTTATATGATTGGCCATTGCAGGCATGTCCATGAGGGCTAAATATTCCTTTAATATGTTCTCGAAATTTAGTTCCACCTCCTAAATGTACTTCCAGTGTTAAAGGAAGGGCTAAACCATCACAGCCCATGTGCAGTTACAAGTTGAGTATATGAGTTTCTAAAGGCAAAGGAAATATTTGATTCCCTTTGGTTTCCTCTTTTCTCTTCTCTTGCTTCCATTTGGAAATGAAGAATGAGCTAATATTTCCATGAAATGAAGACAAAACCAAGTACACATTTATGCTCAGATTACTGCAATTATCCTACCAACTAATGTGAAGTAGAGAAAAGCATCTTATGCACTCACCAAAGGGTTAAAATAAGTGCCTCTCAGATTAAGCACCATGAAATCTGTCTTCTGTATTTTACTCTATTATTTGGATGATTACAGTTCCTGTTATTATTAAGCAAGCTCAGGGCCTATTACTATAAGCTCCATAAAATCATATAAAAAAGAAGATCCCTAAAGATCCTGCAATTTCAATTAAAAAAGGAAAGACAATGGGAAATCTGGTAATTTAATTCTGATGTCTGGTGCTACAGATGAGTTATCCTTGCACAAAAACATTATTTAATCTTAAAATACATATTTATTTTTTTTAATAAGAGCATTTCAATGCTTAACATCACTTCTTTAGAAATACTGGTGTTTACTAGCTGTCCCAGACGTTTGCTTTTGTCTCTTTAAAGTAGCTGTTTTAACAGTTAACCTGTATAAATTGTGATTCTGATTAACAGAAATATAAAGAATGAAATGTGAGAAGCCTGGTCCAACCTAGGGATGCTGAGACATCAAATGACGGCTGCAAGAAATAGGAACAGACTGAGTGCAAGTGAAATCCCAGAGTTACAGACGCTTTAGGTGGGAATGCAACTCTGAAGATTGCCTAGTTCAACCCATTTGCTCAAAGTAGTTTACCAAAGATTGTGTCCAATTGAGTTTTAAATATCTCCAAGAATAGAGACTCTGCAACCTCTCTGAGCAACCTGTTCTTATATTCAATCACCTTTGCAGTAAATAAAGTTTTTTCATTACATTTAGATGGATTTTCCTGTATTTCCAACGGTGCATACTGCCCCTTGTCCTGTCGCTGTCTGGCTCAGTCTTCTTTATTTCCTATTGTCAAGTATTTGTACACATTGATTACATTTCCCTGGAGTCATCTGTGTACTGGTGAGACAATAACTGGACCCAGCACTGCAGATGGGTTTTGGCACTGCTGAGTAGAGGTGGAAATATACTCAGTTTCTGATGGGATGCCGAAAGAGTATTGAGGGGTTGTGGAAACTGTAGGAACTATAGAAGCTGACTACAAACAAAAATCATGCTTGCATGCTCTATCCTTTATTTTCCAAAAATTTAATTAATTCCAAATCATGAAAAAGTCATCACGAACTCTGAGGATGTAGAGGACAGGACTGCTCTTTTCTGGGAGAGCCACAGCTGCCCTTTCCTGTTGCAGAGGGCAGCATTAGGGTCCCTCAGGCAAGCACATGCAAGGGGTTTCTTAACAGTGTGCACATCTTGCTGCAGAGGCATAACCTGATTCAGGCACTGTATGAA